TATTAAATCGAAATTATCCAATTAAAATACATTAGACATACACAAGTATGTATATAATAAGCATTTAATGAATGTTTTGTTGGTTTAAACGATCATGTATATTCATTTTAAAAAATGGGTTTCAATCTTTATGATATTCACGCTACGATATGAATTGAGATTTTTTAATTGCTCTTGAACTTTGAATGTGAATGTATATTATTTAAAAAAATATTTTTTTATTAAATCAAAATTATCTAACTAAAATACATTAGACATACGCAAGTATGTATATAATAAGCACTTAATGAATGTTTTGTTGGTTTATACCAACATGAATATTCATTTTAATAAATGGGTTTCAGTCTTTGAGATATTCAAGCTACGATATGAATTGAGATTTTTTAAATGCTCTTGAACTTTGAATGTGAATGTATATTATTTAAAAAAATTTTTTTTATTAAATCGAAATTATCCAATTAAAATACATTAGACATACACAAGTATGTATATAATAAGCATTTAATGAATGTTTTGTTGGTTTATACGATCATGTATATTCATTTTAAAAAATGGGTTTCAATCTTTATGATATTCACGCTACGATATGAATTGAGATTTTTTAATTGCTCTTGAACTTTGAATGTGAATGTATATTATTTAAAAAAATATTTTTTTATTAAATCAAAATTATCTAACTAAAATACATTGGACATACGCAAGTATGTATATAATAAGCACTTAATGAATGTTTTGTTGGTTTATACCAGTCTTTCTCAAAGTGAGCGATATAATAAGCACTTTGCCCAAGCACTCGCCCCAAGCACTCGCACTCGCCCCAAGTGGGCGATAACGCCCCCTTGGGGGCGTTTGAAACCTAGAGGGGGGCGTTTAGGGGCCCAGAAAAAATGGGGGGCTTGGATGTGGGTTAGGGGGGCGATGTATAATTTGTAATTTCATTTACTTTATATAGTATTTTAAATTTCTCTAAAATTAAAACCCATCTACTACACAATAACGAATAATTAATTTATATTTCTACCCTGTATGATGTTATAAAAACTTAAAATACTTAACATAGATTTCGCAGGATAGCCCGCACACCGTACGCAATCAAGTTGTAACAAGTTTCTGTGGATAGATAAAGGAACATGATCGATGATAGTTAAAAAATTAGAGCAATTTTACCTTAATTACATTGCACCAGAAATTATTTTAAACATTAGGAAAAAAACTACCATGCAGAGTTTTAGAATATTATACTTACGTAAACTAACATAAATTGAAGTTTTCTTTACTTTCTTTCTTGTTTTTAACATAAGGGCATTTTACAGCATTTTCCTAACATTTTATAAGAAATTACTGATGTAAGAATCATCATTATTATATAAAATGGAAATACGTATATAATTATTGCTCAAAAAATTGTGTTAGAAATTTTTTTTAACAATTATTCCATTACCGTCCAGTGTCAAATAGTATAGTAAGCCTAAAAATCTTGTGATGAAAAAGGAATTCCGTTGAAGAATATTATATCAGCTGCTACAGATGGTGCTCCAGCTATGACGGGGAGTCAAAAAGGCTTCATATCGTACTTAAAAAAGAAATTTCCTGATGTGCTTGCTGTACATTGCGTTATACATCGTCAGCATTTAGTTGCTAGACATTTAAGTGAACGACTGTTTCAACCATTGCAACATGTCATCAGAGAAGTCAATAAAATCCGAAACAACTCTTTAAATGACAGATTATTTAATCAGCTTTGTGTTGATAATGATGAAGATTTCAACGGATTGATCTTTCACACAGAAGTGCGTTGGCTATCAAAAGGAAATTGTCTGACTCGTTTTTACAATCTGTTTGACTCTGTCATAGAGTTCTTGGAAAACAAAGACAGAGAAATGAGGCGAAAACCTCATCACATCAAAGAATGATATCGCATACCTGACAGACCTTTATACATTGCTCAATGATATGAATCTCCAACTTCAAGGTGATGACTTGAACTTAATAAAAACAAAAAATGTAGTCGCTGCTTTCCTAGCCCAGCTGCTCTTACACAAAAAGAATATCGGCAGACGTGAGTTCCATAATTTTCCCAATTAATCAGTATCATGCAACAACGACGACATACTCGGCTACTGCCAACATTTGGAAAATATTCACAGTGATTTCATTGAAAATTCCAGGACATTTTGAAATTGGAAATACCAGACTGGGTGTTAGATCCTTTTTCAAATGTCAACATAGCAATATCACCCCAGTTGGAAGAAGAACTTATAGAACTGACAACGAACGAGAAAATAAAAATCGAATACAAAAATGACTACCAAACATTTTGGCTACAATAGTCTATTCCGCAGTTGTACCCTGGATTGTGGTCTATCGTTGAACGATTTTTGATAGCATTCCCATCGTCATATTTGTGTGAACGAGGATTTAGCCCTGTGACAACGCTGCTTACTAAAAAGAGAAATCATTTGCAAGTTACCAAACGCGGTGACTTACGACTGTTTTTGAGTAAAATCGAACCTGATATCAACAAACTTATTAAATATCATCAAATTCATCCATCTCATTAGATTAGTATAAAAACGAAAGCTGATTACATATTTATATTGTTTCTTTTAATTTGATTAAAATATATTATTAATATCATAAAGTTGGGTTTTATTTGCTCTCACTGGTAAAAATTTCTAGTTTAGAATGTAAGTTTAAACATCAGAACCGACTAATAAACTAAATTAATAAAAGTAATGAAATTGTGGTTTTTAAGTTTTAGGGGTGTATAAAAAATGGGGGGCGCTGAAAAATAATTGATTTTCAAAGGGGGCGGTAAAAGAAATAAGTTTGATAATCACTGGTTTATACCAACATGAATACTCATTTTAATAAATGGGTTTCAGTCTTTGAGATATTCAAGCTACGATATGAATTGAGATTTTTTAAATGCTCTTGAACTTTGAATGTGAATGTATATTATTTAAAAAATTTTTTTTGTTTTAAATCGAAATTATCCAATTAAAATACATTAGACATACACAAGTATGTATATAATAAGCATTTAATGAATGTTTTGTTGGTTTAAACGATCATGTATATTCATTTTAAAAAATGGGTTTCAATCTTTATGATATTCACGCTACGATATGAATTGAGATTTTTTAAATGCTCTTGAACTTTGAATGTGAATGTATATTATTTAAAAATTTTTTTTATTAAATCGAAATTATCCAATTAAAATACATTAGACATACACAAGTATGTATATAATAAGCATTTAATGAATGTTTTGTTGGTTTATACCATCATGAATATTTATTTTAATAAATGGGTTTCAGTCTTTAAGATATTCACGCTACGATATGAATTGAGATTTTTTAAATGCTCTTGATCTTTGAATGTGAATGTATATTATTTAAAAAAATATTTTTTTATTAAATCGAAATTATCTAAATAAAATACATTAGACATTCATAAGTATGTATATAATAAGCATTTAATGAATATTTTGTTGGTTTATACCATCATGAATATTCATTTTAATAAATGGGTTTCAGTCTTTAAGATATTCAAGCTACGATATGAATTGAGGTTCTTTAATTGCTCTTGAATTTTGAATATGCATGCATATTATTTAAAAACGAATATTTTTATTAAATTGAAATTATCTAACTAAAATACATTAGACATACACAAGTGTGTATGTACTAAGTATTTAACGAATTTTAATGTTTTTAGGTACTGTTTTAGGTTTAACTAAACTTCCATCACACAATATAGCAAAATAGAAATCTATTTTGTCACATCTAAATTTTAAAAAAATGTGGGATTCATCGTCTTTGAAAAATGTTGGTGAATTTTAGGAAGTGGTAGAAGCTTAATTATGGAAATTATATGCCTGGCATATTTAATTATAGATAATAATATATTTAATTATAGTTAAATAGAATTAGTCTCTCTTATGCTCATCAGATGCCATTGTATTTTAAGTGTAAGTTTTTATGAATAGTGAAATCTTGTTTTTAGAATTAAGTTCTGAAAGCTTCTACATCTACAGTTAGTCTACTAAGTTAAGCGTCTACATCCTGTAACACCTTTTATTTTTATACATTACGGTACCTTTCCGTTCTGACAGCCGTGAAAAACCTATTACTTTGGTGCCTATGGTAATTAGGCTCCTATTACCTCGTTACCGGTAGTACATAATAACACAATTTAAAAAGTATTACGGGCTTTAAGAAAAGTTTTATGATTGTTTTACGCCTCCCCCAAAGCAGAATTAAATTGTTTTTCTCGTGAAACATAAAGAAAAATATATTAAAATAAGAGAAATTTGATTACAATTAAAATAATTAGAACATTTAATATAAATAGATTAAAAGTGGTTTATTCTGAAAATTTACATGCAACAAACCACTGCTTTAAAAGAAATTATTTATGCTAGGTTAGAAAGGTATCTTTATATAATAGATAAATGAAGTTATTAGAACTTTTGTAATCTAAAACCATTATATCACAACTTATAATGGCCATAAATATTTTAATGCAGCTTACATTAATAGTAAATGAAAAGTTGAGCACATAAATTATATAATACTTTTTAAGTCCAGTAACCTGCATAAAAATGAACATAGATTCTTGAGCATGTCTGTTATCTAAGACATTACCATATACCTAACAGACATGTTTACTTCGTCCAACAAAATCTGGATGATAATGTTTATTTTATTCAGCACTTAATCTTTCATGAAACAAGTGAGGATATGTATATAGTTCCATGGAGACAAAACGAATCGATAAACAGATTCCTCCGGTTTTCTGAGAATCTAAAGTATTTTTCAGGAAAATTTCAGCAGTCGTATGCATTACTCAGTTACAGAGTGCACACGAGGAAACGTTTAACTGCGTTACTTGTCTCTTGACAGAGATTGATGTTCTGAGGTTAGTTAAGTACTTTTAAGGGAGGCAAATTAAAGTTCTGTTTCGAAATGTGAAGTATTGCAGTAAAATTCTCAAGCAAACTTAGGATCGATTTGAATCCAAATTGCTGAAATATTTCAGTCAGTTTATTTACACGTCACTTGTTTCATTTGATGCTAGTAGTGAACTTTATTAGTATTTAAGTTTAGAAGTTATTTCACCATATACTAATATATTAGTATACTTATTATATACTATTATATACTATTATATACTATTATATACTATTATATACTATTATATACTAACTTATTTCACCATGTACTTTAAAATGGTTATCATATTTGGTATTGAAATTGTTTTTAACTTAGATGTGACTATTCACTGTAATAGAATAATCGGAACAAAAAGAAAAAAATTACGTTAAAAATCAGACGATCGGTCTGTGTAGGGGTCAGGGAACTGTCCTTGCATCAGAAAGGTTTTGGGTTCGAATCCCGGGCAAGGAATGGATGTTCTTTCATTCTCTGTACTAGTTGTCCTTACTGTGGGAACAACATTGGCCCACCTAATATGGTGCCCCTGAAAGAGTGGTCAACAAATCTGCCTTTCAGATGCCTGTATGACCTAGGTCATTCTCCAGGTGGGCATTGAAAGAAAAAACGTTAAAAATCACGTGGCAAACGTCACGTGGAGTTATATGATAAGGAAGCATCAGTTTTTTATTAAAGTGTCTAAAAATTTCGATTAGAGGAATTTAGGATTGACTGAATTTAATGATATTTTTGAAAATAAACTAACAAATTGCCAGAGCTTTACGTACGGTATCCTGAATCATTTTCTTTCAATTAGAGGCCTTCGCTATATAAGAATGTTTACTTTTCAAAAAAAAAAAAAAAAAAAAAACAGCACTGTCAATAAAAATTATTAGTGCACATATACACTGTGAAAAGTTTGGGCATGTGGTTGCTACTATTTTTGGTGTTAAAGCAAATTAAGCTCATTTTTAAGTACAAAACTTTTGCGCTGCTATCGTGTGAAAAAACTATGCAAAATTGACAGAATAACAATTTATCGGAAGAATTAGTGCAAATATATTACTGAAAACCCCATTAAAATTTACACACCCACTAAATTGTATATAAAAGGATAATTTTTTGTTAAATTAAAAAAAAAAAGTGTTCGTTCACAAATTTTTTGGGAGTCTTTAACATCAAATTCTAAGAGATAGTACACTATAGCTTTTTTAGTGTAAAGGAATCAATCTCGCCTTTAATGATAGAGGCATGAAACTTGGTACATTTTAAATATGAAGACAACTCCAATTCAGTTCATAACAGTAAAGTAGAGCGTTCAAAATGAAAACATTTTTGTTCAAAGTAACTCCTAACACCCCCTCTCCTCTGTCGTAGCATGTTGACAATAATAGCACCATCTATTATTGCAATTTGTATTATTGATTGATACCGGAAATATACGATATTTGATTTTTTATATCTTGAAAAGCAATATTTTCTTAAAGTTTGTCACGATTTCTGCCGTTATGACGACATCAAGCTTATCATAAAAATATGTTTATTATAACTTAATTAAAAGAAATATTTATTTTAATTTAAATCACCTTTAATTATTCTGAAATATTTATAATTGACTTCTTTATTGTTGCATTAAGCAAATGTTTGACAGATTTTAAGCGCTTCATTTCATACAAAAAGAAAGGAAATATCTTTATGTGTCTATATTCATTTCTTAATAGCTACAGAGAAAATTTTTATCTTCATTTTTAATTAGTTTTTACTTCATCTAAAGTCAATATTAATCTTTTTACAGAGTAACATTTGAGGGATAAAATCTGAATACAATGAAGTTCTTTGGGATACGTGACAACGTCTAGTAATTTTCTAAATGGGAATTCCTTTTTTTCCAATTGAAAGAAGTAAAAATAATAATTAAAATACATTTCATTACTCCACAGTGTATAGCTTTTACGGTCATTCTATCGCTTTTTCTT